TGTGTCAGTGGTTTTTATGAATACTGTGGTTTAGAGTGGTGCAATTTCACATCGACGCACAATAATTTAGAAAAAAGGGGGATTGACCGTCTTTTTCGATTTTCGTCGTGAATTTTATATTCGGCCCAATCAAGTTCAATAGTTCTCTGAGGTAGGCAACGTGAACCCTGCTGACAAAGACCAAAGTATTGGTGACGTAATGAGACCTGCACTTTGGTTGATATTTTATCTATCTGCTGTTCTATTCGCTGAAACACCATTTCAACAATCAAGCCGGGCGGTGTGGGAGAGCCAATGGGATTGCGCTTAATTGTTTTCGTGCAATTGCCATCGAAGGTGAGGGGTTTTAATGCAGTAATGTAGAAACTCGGGCAGGTGGTCAGAATTTAGGGGGTTGTCTCTCCCCTTATAGCATTTGGACACAGCCCAACGACGAAGGTACTCGATGGGGAGGCAAATGAGCCGCTATATCGAATAGTCCCCACGGAGACAGCCACTCCCCATGGAGGTGAGAACCCATAACGCACGAATCTGTCAAGCCGCTCAAACATCCGTTAAAAGGCTGAGTTATTAAAAAAAATTCGACCGACCCAAGAGGGACTAACTGGATATGCCACTTCTATTTCTTTTCCATTTTTTGCATTTATTGCGTTCTGTAGACGAATACCTCCCAGGTAGTTTTTTTCGCAAAAACTAAAACAATAAAGTACACGACAGACGTGTCGTGGAACACCTGTTTAGACCATTCTAACGAGACTGGACACTGAACTTTGCAGCAGAAAAAAACGTCCCCTGGCTTTAAATGCTCCGACAGCAGTCACTTAGTCAGCATTGCATCTAGTGCCGTTCAAACTGCACATTTGAATCAATCGATCAATAAAATCCTGCGCGTGTCCTTGTTGGTGACTGGTGTGCGTAAGTCGCTGTTCGCTTGTCGTTGTTTCTTCTTTCGTAATGATACCAGGTGCCTAGACTCTATTTCGGAAGTTATAATAATCATAGTCTAATCCTTTTAGAAACCTTAACCAAAAGTTTTATTTTCTGGTTTACCTCGATCAGATTTACTTTATGCAGAGTTTGACTAAATTCCGTTAATGTATTGATTATTCGGGTCCCTGGCAATTAGATATAATGATCAGCGGAAAGTTTCTGGATGATCTTACTGTTTAACACACAAAAGTTTTCCTACTAAACGCCAACTAAAATTAGCTAGTATATTCACGAGTCGCAATGTTGAACGTGAGTTCTACCTTGTTAAGGCTACGAAGTAACATTTATTAGCCTAAAGCCATGCATACATAATTTATTATCAAATTACGCGCCTTTTGCTTCTAATGAATTACCCCAGAGGGCATGGGTAAATTTCCCGATAAATAAGTTCTCAGTTTGCTGAAAACTGAATGATAGATTAATGTAAACCATAATGAGTGAACGCAAAATGCAAATGGGAGACCTTGTTACACGGCCGGGTTTAAAATAGCAGTATCCTCCGTATCCTCGGTTTAAATTCCAGGAGAGTTTCTAGTTGACGTTAGGGTTAGGATCAGGAAGATTAGGATTAGGGGAGTTAGCGCTGGGGCTAAGGTTAGTGTTAAAGTTAGATCACGGGAACACTTAACCTTTCCCTCAATTCTCTGGTCCAAGCAAAATGTCCGCAAACTGAATTCTTACCAATAGAAGCAAATATGCGTGTCCCAGGTTCTTGTTACAAAGAAGAGGAAGATGCGATCTCTGAAACGGTATTTCCATTCTGAGCTTTCGGCTCCACACGAAAAGCCATGACCAGAGAAAATGAGAAAACAGCAAGCGTTGGCTACGCGTAAATGGGGTTGGTAGGGGAAAGGGGCAATTTGTGATTGGTCCATGTCCACGCCACGTCCATTCTCACGCTATCTTACTGTGTGTCTCCTGCGCGCGTCCCTGGAGCTATGACGTGTGACCTTGACGTGGCAGCCTGCGTGCTTGTAGGGGAACTGGGCCCTGGTTTCTGGTCACAGGTACGG